GAAGCTGCAAATTGCTTCATTGAAAAGACAAGTTCAGTTGATTCAAAAATATTCTTTAACTCGGAAACATCCAAAGCTGTAACATCAGGATGGTCCTTCATTGATTCTTCTTTAACGTAAATTGCTTCTGAATACTCACGAAGATAAATCGAAGCGGTTTGGCCAATTTTTTTCTCAAGTGATTCAAGCTTCTGTTTTGGTGATCCTAAAAGTGACGCCGATAGCTTTGACACTTTTGCCTGTTTAAATAATTCAACGTATTTCAATCTGGATTTGAGTATAGTTAAGGCCAAATAAGGTTTGAATACATGTGGTTGATTTTTCAATATTGAACATTTGTGAGCATACTGCCAAGTTTCAATTGAATTTTTGAATGACTTTGGTCGCATGCAATTTATGTATTTTCTTCGCTTCATAAATTGGCTCCATATGTAATTTAAATAGATAATTGATCGGCATTGTGGTAGATCTAAATTGAGGGAGATTTCATCGATCGTCGTCAAAATTTGATTCGTTATTTTGTGTGTCTTGTTCTTCGTGTGAATTAGCAATGACTGAAAATCGGTTGGATTGAATAAATATTGATGGTCTTGCTTCATCATCGCAATCATGGATTCGGCAAAGGCTTGAATTGATTCTGCTGGCGTTTGAAATTGTTTATCGTCTTTGATTTCCATTAAATCTTGATTTGTGTCAAAATAAATAGAAAAATCTTTGATTAAAAGTTGCTTATGTACAAATTCTGGATGTTGTATTGTAGTAACTACGTTATTTTGCTCATCAACGGTTTGAAACGTAATTTCGGGAGTATATAATCCTATAATTATCGGTTTTGGATTCGCTGGAAATTCGATTCTAACGTGAAGGTTCTTGATTTGTACATGCATATTATCAATAATTGACTCGAAAAGTCCTTGGAAAATTTTAATTTGCTCATCTCTTGACATTGGGTTTGATTCATTCTTAGTGTGAAGACTTTTTTGATCTGCTTGAAAATCGCTTTTTAACAAAACTTCATTTTCAAATTGAAGAACAAGAAAGATATCTTCAATTAAAACTTCACAAGCTGCGTTTTTTAAATTATTCCAAGGGAAAATGACATTAGTGTATTTAACTGATCCTTTTCTAATAATAAATGGTATATGGCGCACAGTAAGGGCTGTAGGTAATAATTGAAGATTATAAATTTTCATTGATCCTTGAAGAACTTTTAATTCCAATTGGCCTGGCTCAAGGGGTTTTAGGTATTCTTTAAGATAATGCATGATCCATTTTGAAAGAACGGCCTCTAACATTTTTTAATATGAATTATTTTTTTTTTATATTATTTTTTATTTTCAATTCAAAATTTAATAAATTTAATTATTTTTATCAATTTCATTGAAAATTTATTAGTATTTTCAATTTGAGCTCGTCTCAATGACTTTAATAATACTGTTTATCTTTTCTATCCATCATTTATGCATATTACTTTATTTATTATTTTAATTTAATACTTAAATTTTAATATAATATTAATTAATGTTTCAAAAAAATTGTAAAAATATTGAAATATTTTGCTTTATATTTTTATCTCTACTATCATTTCAATTCAAATAATATACCTTTCACAAATAATGGTAAATAGCAAACGATGTGATTTTAATACAGAAAATTAATTGTTATATATTTATTATTTGTAAAAAAAAAATAAAAATAAAAAAAAAAAAAAAGGTAAAATAAATGCTAATTGAAATAATCTTAATCGTCATCGGCGTATTTCTCTTAATGTAGTATTCAAAATTTTGAAATTAAAATAATTCTTTTTTACAGTTATAAAATACTGCTCCTTGAATCATAATATCATATTACAATTTATTCTTTATTATTAATATACAAGCATGTGTAATAAGAGAAAATATGAAATATTTTCCTTCATTTACAATTTAAGAATTAAAAATGACATATTTGAAGAATTTTTTTAATTTTACAGTATGCAATGAACTAAAAATTTCGTTATTTTGTTGAAATCTTTATGTTATAATAGCAAATTATTTCCAAAAAAGTTAAAATAAGCTTTTTTTCATTCTTAACGTCTTTTTAAAGAATGGAAGAGCAAATCCCTCTTTCTGACTTTCCGATAAGAAGTGAAGAGATTCTTGCAATACAGAATGACATACTGAACCTACAAGATGGCCTTGATACAGTTGTGAATGACAATATTTCCAGAAACGCTATTCTTACTCAAGCATCTAAAAGTTTCTTTGAATTTCTTCAGCAACTTTATCAAAGAGGTGGAATTTTACAAAAATATGCTAAAACATTAATCGAAAGAGAAAATCAATTAGCAATTGAGCAAAGAAAATATAATAGCGATCTTTTAAATTTACGAATAATTAATGTTGATCTACCTGCTGAAGAGGAGAAACTTGAAGATATCAGAGAAAAGCTAAATGAACTCACAGAAATTAGACAAAAAAATTCAGAACAACTTGATTTACTTAAGCAAAAAATACAATCGATGATTACAGAGCATAATTCAATAGCAGATCAAATCGAAAAAGTTCATCTTGGTGTAACAGATGATTTGTATGATGATATGGGTGATACGAATGTTAATGTTTTCATTGAAGTTCAAAATTTAAGAAAAGAAATAGAAAATACTACTAAGCAAATCGAAATAACCAAAGAAAATATTCAAAATAATATAAGAAAAAAGGAATATTTAAACAATAATATGGACTATATAATTTCTATAAAGCAGTCTTTAAAAAATATACCAGATATACAAGAAAATATTTCATCAGTTTCAAAGCAAATAAAAGAAATCCGTTTAAAGCAACGTGATGAAAGAGTCAAAGCTCTTCAATACTCTACAGAATTAAATCAATTATGTCAGCAGCAAGATGAAGTATACGAGAATTTAGAAACGCATAGAAGCCTTAATTCTAAAATTCCGAATTTAAATGTAAAAGTTGTGGAATCAGAATTTCAAATTAACCAGATTAAAAGTGATCTAAACAGTCAATTGCAAGAATATAGAGCTAAAAAAATGCAAAATATTGAAATTGAAAAGAAAACTGAGGAAGAGTTAGAATTGCTTAATACGAAATATAATAAAGAATGTCAAAAATCAGAAGTAATTGAATCAAAAATCGCAGAAGTTGATATTTTAATTGATGATCAAAACAGAGAAAAGTATAAGAAACAGAAATTTACAGATTTAGATAATATTGATAATAAATATAAAAAAGAAAAGATAAAAAGTGCTTTATTGAAATTTAATATTTTAAATCCAGCAAAGCCAATGCAAGATGACGACCTTTACGACGAGAAAAAAAAGCTTTTAGAAATATATGATGAAATTAATAAAGAAATCGCAGATGTAAACTATCAAATTGGTCAAATACACTTTAAAATCGAATATGAATTAATGCGCCAAAACGTTCTAGAAGCTGAAGAAGGGAGATTGAGTAATTATCAAAATTCAATGAAAAGTGATAGTTACGTGACATGTGATACGAAAAGGAAATTTAAAAATGATAATGAAAGTGAAAATTCTGTTTGCCAATTTATCACAAAAAGGAAAATTGATCGTGATCAGCAAATTTTTAAGCAAAAACAAGAACTTTCTGAATTAGAGAGCCTCGTTTCGATGAAAAAGTCGAGAACTTTGGTTAAAAGTCAAAAAATAGCCAAAATAAGAAATATATATGATGAATCTGTTCATAGTTACAATAAATCAAATGATAAAACAGAAGCAGATTCGTTTTCTGGTTTAGAAAATGGATCTCAAATTGATCCAAAAAAATTGAGAAAAAATGAACTTTTTAAGCAGTACATTCAAAAAGTTTCCGATACTTTTCAATCTCAATCTAAATATTGGAAAGATATTGAAACCAATAACGATAATGAAACCAGAAGTAACCTGATTAATTGGGCTATGCAAATTGACCAAGCTAACAAAAAGTTGCAGTACATGTCTGATCGTTCTTCCCTCAATAACACAAAAAGTCAATCTTTTCAAAGCAGCAAAACAGAAGTTTCAACATATCTTGAAAATATTGAAAATAATTCTTTCTCTTATTCTGATCTTTGATATTATTATTGTGTTGTTTGTTTTTCATGTTATATAAAAATTGTTTTTTAATTAAAAAAGTATTTTTGAAACATAATTTAAATAAGTTTTTATTAAAAAATGCACGTATTTATATGGATGTAAACAAATAAAATATGAAGGCCTTGGTAGTTTAATGGTTAGAACGCATTTCTCACCCATTTGTAGTATCGGTTCGATTCCGTTCCGAGGCAATTTTTTGATATTTTTTCAAAATAACTATATTTGGTTTATTTGATTTCCTTTATCATCATTGTTGTTCATCAGCATTTGCTGCAATGCCTTAGCTTTTTGATTTTTGGTTTGCTTTCTTTTTGCCAATTGCGATGATTACAATGAAGATAACGATTGCAACCACGGTAACGACTGCAATCACAATTCCAGCAATTATTCCAACATGTTTCTATTAATTTTTCCGTATGGTTTGTAAGCATCTTTTTTATTCAAAAATTGATATTCATAAAGTTGATCAATTTGGATATTAAGATCCATTTCTTTTGGTGTGTAAGTGAACACATCTAATTTATCTTTTTTGAACGTTTGTATTTTTCAATTCTATTCCATCTTTAGCAATTGTTTAAATATTTGCAAAAAAAGAGAAAATAGAACATCCAAAGCCGATTTGAATGTAATACCATGTAATTTATCAAAGTAAGATGGCTATTTACGTTATCAAATAGTTACTTCTTAGCATTTATTAAAAAATTGTTTCATGAGATTTTATAACATATGAATTTAAATACTATTCAATATTTGTAATAAACGCATGATTTTATTAATTTAATATGAAACGCTTATAAAAAAAAATCATGAAACGCTAATTAATTAAATCAAGAAGTTTTTATTAAACAAATTAATGAGAAATGAATGAATTTGTATAGATATAAACGATTAAAATATGAAAGCCTTGGTAGTTTAATGGTTAGAACGCATTTCTCACCCATTTGTAGTATCGGTTCGATTCCGTTCCGAGGCAATTTTTTGTTTTTTGTAAAATCAACAACAAATTCTGTAATTGTTTAACTTTTCAAACTTGTGAATTTTGAAAAGAAACTTGAATTGATTTTAAATTTCATAACAGTAAATCGTAAGAGAGTTCTTGCAAGGATTATTAATATAATAAATAATTCCTCAAAGAATGAGGAAATCTATAATAGCATGAAAAAAATGATTTTTCCGGAAGATAGACTCAGTTGTGATTTTTTTTTTTTTTTTAATTTATATTGAATATAATGCTATAAATCTAAATTATTTATATAAATTTTAGAAATTTTACTCACTTAACTTTTGTTATTCAATTTATTAGATTTTCAAGATTTTATGATTTCACTTTTTTCCTATTCAAAAAAAAGGTTTATATTTTCATTTATATTTATTCTGTTTCAATATCAATTAATTTTATTATAAATAATTTTTAAATTTTAAAAATCAAGTAAATAATTAAAAAAATAAATTTTAATTTATATTATTACTATATAGAAAATATATGCAAGAATTATGAATTGAATAAAAATCGTTATTTATATTTTTTTACAAACGATTTTAACTTTTCAAAATTTTCATTTCATTCTAATACTTTTCTCTTATGGAACCTTTCAAATGCGTTGTTGTTGGGGATGCTTCATCCAACAAAACTCAGCTATTTTATAACTATACTAATCAAGATTGTTCAAATGAATATTGTACTTCTTTTTCAGAGAATTATTTAAAAAGCTTCAAAAAGAATACCCAGATCTATCAATGCGAATTTATTGATACAACAGGCCAAGAATCATATCAATCAATTAGATTAATTTCATATATCCAAGCAGATGTCTTTATTTTATGCTTCTCATTAACAGATAAAAAATCACTGGACAATATCAAAAATATCTGGCACCCAGAAATCACAAAAGTTTCACCAAAAGCAAAAGTAATCCTTGTTGGAACTCTCTTAAATCCACATGAAAAAACAGTCACAGATGACGAAGTCAATAAAACAAAACGCTGCATTAAATTTAATAACTACATTGAATGCGATCTTTATGAAATGGACCAAGTCAATTCTGTTTTTGAAACAGCAATTAAATCAGTTTTTAAGAAACGAAAGAAAAAATTCTTTTCAGTTTTTCACAAAAAGAAAAAAGAAACAGAATTGGAAGCCATCTTAGATAATTCATTTGACTTTCAAGAAATTGTAAGCTAGAGATCTATGTCTTTTCTGTATTAAATATATTATTTTTCGGATCTTTCATTTTTTTTTATCAGAAAAAGTTTAACTTTTGTTTGAATAAATCAAATTAAGATCATAATTGGTTTTTCTAATTTTTGAATAGTTTATTCTTTGAAAAAGTTCAAGAACTAACTTTGATACTGGACAATTGATTGGTTTTCTGATAAAAGTTAAACTTTCTCTTTCAATTTTAATTTATAGGTTTTCTGATAAAATTTTAAAATTCAATGAATAAAAATGATATGAAAATTGAAATTCTAATTGTATTGGTTTATTTATTAAATAAAATTGAACACAATTCATCTTCACAAGTCAAAAGTTAAATTGAATTGATTTCGTCAAAAGTGAAGATAAAATTTCAGATGAACTTCCAACTTCTGGAAGATTTGCACGTTCCACGTCGTTTCGTTTCTTTCTTTTAACAACAAAAATAATCACAAACACGACAATTGACACAAAAACAACTGATCCGACAGTAATTCCAGCAATCAAGAAAGGAGAAATTTTCTTCGACTTCTTTTTTCCATCTTCTTCTCCATCTGGTAGCATTGAAGAAGAAGATGATGATGAAGGTCCAGCTGTTTCAGAAAGAAATGGAGTAATTGATGGTGAAGGAAGTAAAGAAGAAGATGCCGAACGAGAAGGAGAAAAAGAAGAAGAAGGTGATTTTGAACGAGTGATTGTATGATGAGTATTTACAAGAATTCCACAGAATAAAGATTCTTCATATTCATTCGATGTGAAGACATCTGTGTAGCTATCAAATGCATCCAAAGAACAAGAAGGAACATTCGTTCCATTATAAACAACGTATGAAAAGTTTGTGTTAACAAACGACATCCTTTCAATGACTTGAATTGATGAAGGAATGTGCAAAGGACCACTCATTCCCATGCAATTATAAAAGGACATCGCATTAATTGAATGAACATTCAAGCCAAGTTTTAATTGATCAAAAGATGAGCAGCCAATGAATGATCCTTCTTCAATTATGTTGACTGAATCAGGAATGATCAAGCATCCTTTCAAATTGGAACAATATTGAAAAGAGAATGAGTTGATTATCTGAATATTTGAACTCATTTTTAATTCTCCATTCAAACCGCTGCAATTTGAAAAGGCATGGTTCTCAATTTCAATAACTGAGTCAGGAATTTTCAATGTCCCATTGAAACTCGAACAGCCAGAAAATGCATAATAGTCAATCTTTGTTACTGTCTCTGGAATCGTCAATGTGCCTGCCATTTTCGAACAATATTGAAATGAATTCGAATTGATCGTTTTCAATTTCTGACTTAACCGCAAAGTTCCATTGAATCCGCTACAATACGAGAAAGAGTTGCTGCCAATTTCATCAATGTTGTCATGAATGTTCAAGTCTCCAATCAAGCTCAAACAGCCAGAAAATGCAAACGATTGGATCTTTGAAATAGATTCTGGTATGACCAAATTACCTCTCAATTTTGAACATTCCTGAAATGTGTAGGAATTGACTTCTTTCAGGTTCGAACTAATGATCAATGATTCATCGAATCCGCTGCAGTAAGAGAAGCAACTTTCGCCAACAGAAAAGACAGAATTTGGTATGATTAAAGAACCAGAAAATCCTGAACAACTTGAAAATGCGTTTTTTTCAATATTTCCAACTGATTCTGGAATGACCAAATTTCCTTTCAATTTAGAACAATATTGAAATGTCGATTCTGCAATTACTGGCAAGTTACGACTGATGTATAATGAACCATCAAAGCCACTGCAGAAAGAGAAGGCATTACTGGAGACACCAAGAACTGTGTCAGGAATTTTTAGGTCACCTTTGAGTCCCGTGCAACCTGAAAATGCGTAAGAATCAATTGAAACAACTGACTCTGGAATTGTCAAAGAGCCTGTCAATTTCGAACAATGTTCAAACAAGTAAGAATTGATGACTTTCATATTGGAACTGATTTTCAATGTTCCATTCAATCCTGAACACACAGAAAAAGCTCCACTCTCAATATTTAAGACGGTGTCTGAAATATTCAATGAGCCACTGAATTTCATACAACTTGCAAATGCATAGGAGCCAATTGAAATGACTGAACTTGGAATTGTCAAGTTTCCAATGAAATTCGAACATGAACGAAAGACTGAAGTACTGATCACTGTCAGATTCTCACTGATAATCAATGATCCGTTGAATCCTGAGCAGAAAGAGAAAGCAAAATCGCCAATGAATAAAACTGAGTCAGGAATTTTCAATGATCCATTGAATCCTGAACAACTTGAAAATGAATAAGATTCAATTGAAATAATCGAATCTGGAATGATCAATGATCCATTGAACTTGGAACAATATTGAAATGTGAACGAACTAATAACTTCCAAATTTCGACTAATGACAAGTGATCCATCGAATCCTGTGCAATAGAAAAAGGCGCCACTGCCGACATATTGAACTGTATCTGGAATAACCAATGTGCCTTTAATTCCAGAACAATATGAGAAAGCATAAGCATCAATTGAAACAACAGATTCCGGAATTGACAAGCTTTTCAAACTCGTGCAATTTGCAAAGACACTTGGATTGATTTCAACGACGTTGTTTCCTATTTTTAGATCAGTGAATCCTGAGCAAAAAGAGAAAGCGCCATTGCCAATGTAATAAACATTATCTGGAATGATCAATGTTCCCTTAATTCCAGGGCATCGAGTGAATGCATTGGCTTCAATCGAAGTAACCCATTCAGGAATATTCAAGCTTGACAATCCTTTGCAATTAGAAAAGACATTTGACCGGATTTCAGTTACTTTTTTACCTATTTGTAAATCACTGAATCCTGAACAAAATGAAAAAGCACCTTCGCCAACGTAATCAACAGTGTCTGGTATTTTCAATGTTCCTTCAATTCCAGTACAGTATGAAAAAGCATTTGTTTGAATTGAAGTGACCCAGTCAGGAATTTCTAGGCTTTTCAATCCGATGCAGCTATAGAAAACATTGGAGCCAATTTCAGTAATGCCATGTCCAATGTTGAGATTAGTTACACTTGAACAATGTGAAAATGCATAGCTTCCAATCTTCTTGACTGAGTCTGGAATCATTAATGTTCCTTTGATACCAGAACAGTACAAAAATGCATTGGAACGAATCTCAGTAACTGAATCCGGAATTGTTAATGAAGCCAAACATAAGCAATATTCAAAGACATTCTCATTTATCACTGTTAATTTTTTGCTGATTATCAAATCAGTGAAATTCGAGCAATGAGAAAAAGCTGAACTTTCAATTCGAGTTACACTGTCTGATATTGTTAATGTTCCTTTAATTCCAGTGCAATATTGAAATGCATTAGATCGTATTGTAGTGATCCAATTAGGAATAGTTAATGATGAAAGACCTGAGCAATAATCAAACGCATTTGAACTGATTTCGGTTAAGTTTTTACCAAAGTTTATACTGGTAGCGCCAATGCAATGAGAGAATGCGGATTTGTCAATTGTTTTTACAGAGTCTGAAATTGTTATTGAACCAACAATTCGACTGCAGAATGAGAATGCATTATCGCCGATGTATGTGACAGTATCGGGAATAGTTAAAGTAGCCAGATTGGAGCAATATTCAAACACATGATCATTTATTAATGTGATATTTTGGCTGAGTTTCAATGATGTGAATCCAGTGCAATGTGAAAAAGCAGAACTGTCAATAACTCTGACTGAATCAGGAATTGTCAACCTTCCTCGAATGCCAGAACAATAAGAGAATGCATTCGAACGGATTG